GTAATTGTGTGTAAATTTTGCGCAAAATTTAAATGAGAAAACAAATCGATTATCAAACAACGCGCTGAATGTATTCTAGAGACTAAAAGAGCCCCGTTCGTTACTTACATGTAAATTTATATCAACAGTTCAATTCGTATCGTACCTATCGTATTTCTGTTCTAATTAAAACAATTAAAACTGTCTTGAAATATTAGATGCATATACATATATGTAATTGTTTCTCATTGATAGAAGTCGGAATGCAAAATGTACCTAAGCGTTTAAAAACGTTCATCTATGGTAATTGGGGTTTATATAAAAGTGCCCCATATTATTTGTATTGAAATTAATATCATTAACGATTTTTTATTTTTTTTATTACTGACGTACTGAGTAAGCGACGATTACGACCCAACTAGTGCTAAGTGGTGATTCCCATTTGTTTCTCTTTCACTGCCCAAAGTTGCACTAGAGATGCAGAGTTCCTTCTCACTATAACCAAAGCTGTCAACAAACTTCCGCAGTGGTGGAAGTTTAGATCGCCGAAGCATATGCCTTGCGTCTACGAAAAGTTCAACACCTATAATGATGTCGATAGTCATATAGATGTCGATAGAAGTACACACCTGCTTAAGGGGAAATAAATGAGTAAATGGTCTTGATCTTATGATGAGACCAAATCTTAATAAATTTTATTTATAATGTTTCTATAAATAGATCCATTCCCCAAAGCACGACGTCTCACCCAGTCAGTACAAATATCAGGANGCGTCTACGAAAAGTTCAACACCTATAATGATGTCGATAGTCATATAGATGTCGATAGAAGTACACACCTGCTTAAGGGGAAATAAATGAGTAAATGGTCTTGATCTTATGATGAGACCAAATCTTAATAAATTTTATTTATAATGTTTCTATAAATAGATCCATTCCCCAAAGCACGACGTCTCACCCAGTCAGTACAAATATCAGGACCACAGATAGAAAATTAGCCGTCTACTTTAACCGATAAGTTGACTTTGGTCACATATGACGCGTGAATTTTACATTGAATCTGGCTGGGTGAGTGACCAGAGATCTAGCCAAAACGAACTTTGTTGAATGAATTTTTTTCACGAATTTGTATTCATGAAATTCAAGCTGAAGGTGAAGCAAAAATAAAATTAAAAATGACAATAACAATTGTTTTTTACCACTGAAGTATGAAATAGGTCTATGTTTTCTACTAAGTGAATTGTTAACCTATGATAGCAATGAAATGCCAAGATGACACTGACAATGACACATAAGTACGGGAAAATAAACAACGAAACATTTAAAAAATCGCTAGCTGACTAGGTGTGGTGTTATGGAAAGTGTATTTCCGTCAAATGGTGATTAAATGTCTACAAAACCGATAAAAATGCCGTCGGCAACAAAAGAAAAGGATTCTACGAAACTTAAGATTGCTGTGGAAATGTTAAATGCTCCAAATAAAGTACCACAGCTCATCGAGTTAGATCAAAGCCAGCCTTTATCGAGCATAATCCAGCTTCTTTGTAAAACGTGGGGACTTCCGGACCCCGTGAACTACGCTTTGCAGTTCTCTGAGAGCAATAACCAAAACTACATTACCGAGAAAAACAGGAATGAGATAAAGAACGGTTCAGTGTTACGCCTAGAGTTATCGCCTGCGAAAACGGTGCAAGACATTTTGGCCAAGATCAATGGCGTAGAAGCAGATCAAATCGCCGCCTTATCCAAATTATCTGTCCTTAGTAGCGACCTAACATTTGCATTAGAGTTCATTAACAAAAAAGGTCTGACACTCATCATCAATGACATCGAAAATGGAAAATTCAAAGGAAAATCGCTAAAATACGCCTTAGCAACTTTTGTTGAACTCATGGACCACAGTGTAATATTCTGGGATATACTAGAAAATCAATTCATAAACAAAATCGCCAGCTTTGTGAGTAACCAGGCCATTCCGCAAGACCCCAAAGTAATTCAGTGTTGCTTGTCCATTCTAGAAAACATTGTACTGAACAGCTCTAAGAACTCTCAAGTGGAAAAAGAAATCACAATTCCAAGTTTGATATCACATTTACAGAATTCACAACAGGACAGTTTAATTCAGCAGAATGCTATTGCTCTCATAAATGCTATATTTTGCAAAGCCGATATGACAAAGAAAAAAACTATTGCAGCAACTTTGTCATCTAAACAGGTACGTAATGTCATTTATGAGAACCTCATTGGGACTGGTGAGTTCCCTAAGAACAATACTAAAGAAGCATTAGGGACTGAATTGGCTCACCAGCTCTATGTACTTCAAACATTGATGCTGGGTTTGCTGGAGCCACAAATGAGACAAAAGGCTGAGTCACAGGAACAAGAGTCACAAGAAAAAATAAAGGAATTGAGGAAAATTGCTTTTGAAGGTGACAACAATCCAAATATTGAAATAACAATGAGAAGACCTGTTGGTTCTTATTCAAAAGATTTCAAAAAACTTGGCTTTAAATGTGAAATAGATCCTATTAAAGATTTCAACGAGACTCCCCCAGGAGTACTGGCATTAGACTGTATGTTGTATTTTGCCAGAAATTACCCAGAAGATTATACTAAAATAGTTCTTGAAAATAGCTGCCGTGCAGACGAACATGAGTGTCCCTTTGGGAAGACAAGCGTGGAGCTTGTAAAGCAACTGTGTGACATCCTACATGTAGGTGAACCACCAAGCGAACAAGGCCAGACATACCATCCTCTCTTCTTCACACATGATCATCCATTTGAAGAACTATTCTGCATTTGTATAGTTCTACTTAATAAGACATGGAAGGAAATGAGAGCGACATCTGAAGACTTCATAAAGGTATCGAGTGTCGTAAGAGAACAGATTAGCAGAGCGCTCTTAGCATCACCTAAAAACTTTGATAAGTTCCGGCAAAAAATTAACCAGCTGACATATGCCGAAATAACACAAATATGGCAGCAAGAAAGAACGAACAGAGAAGTCTGGGAGTCTCATGCGCGACCTATCGTAGAGTTAAAAGAAAAAATTACACCAGAAATTGTAGACTTGATTCAGCAACAGAGATTGGGTGTACTTGTTGGTGGAACAAGGTTTAAAAAGTTTTTTTCTAGAAGTCAAAGAATAAAAGATAAGTTCTGGTTTGTTCGTCTCTCACCTAACTATAAAGTGTTGCACTATGGTGATTGTGATGAAAAAAGCACTCCGAGCTTAGAAGAACTCGGAAACAAGCTACCTGTTGCTGAAATCAAATGTGTTGTTGTCGGTAAAGAGTGTCCACACATGAAGGACTTGAGAGGAAGAAAAATAACACCACATCTGGCTTTTTCATTTATTTTGAAATCTGCTGAAGTTACTTCTTTAGATTTTGTGGCTCCTGATGAACAGATCTTCGACTACTGGACTGATGGTATCAATGCACTCTTAAAGGAAAAGATGACCAGTAAATCATTTGAAAACGATTTGCAAACTCTACTGTCCATGGATATAAAGGTTCGGTTACTTGATGCGGAAGGCATTGACATTCCACAAGATCCTCCACAAATTCCTGATGAACCTGAAGATTATGATTTTTATTATGAGAATAATTAGCATTCCCATTAATTAATTCGTTTTTGAGATATTATTTTGTACAAAGGTCCCTTTTCTATTATGATTCATATATTTTATGTGTAAGTTATGAATCACTTTTTAAATACATATATATTTATTTTAAATAACCAGACCGTTTTCCACAACTAGACATATGAAATTGCGCCTTTATAGTGTGTGGATACAGTTATCGTATGATAGGCAGTATTTTATTTAACAATAAGGTTCATATTAATTACATTGAGTTATATTTTAGTTCTAGACATACCAAATAGGGCATCACCATTTTTGTTCATCCTGTTCCTGTATGACTGTGTATGAACTTGTATAAATAGAATAAATTATAACCAATATAACAGTTTTTAGAATACAATGATTTAATTCTGATATTGAATAATGTGTTTATGATTGTAGTTAAAGTTTTTTCATTTTAGTAAAAGAACCTTAATTAGAGCCAGATGTGTCCATTATAACAATAATTGAAGTAAACGTTTGTTTGTAACGAATTTCAATGTGTTGAAATATCTTTTTTTTTGTTGTATGTCACATTCACATGGTATTTACCAGTTTTAATTTGAAAAAAATATTATTTAACCAATGTAATATTAATTAATTTGCACAAATCATTTTATATAATTGTATCATAAATGAATTAAATACTTGATGTAATTTTAATATCTGAGGATCATATTAAGTATCATATTATATAAATTCTGTCTTCAATGTATTTGAGATTTAGTGATAGTTTTTCTATATTTAAGCTTTGAAACATAGGCATTAGCAGTGGCCGCTAGTGTTTTGTCAAATTCTTATTATTATTGCAGTAAGGAAGCATTTGGGATTTTATAATAGAGGTTTTAATCATCGATTAATTTATGAGGAATATGTTGTTATTAGCCATTAATCGATATTATATTTTGTATACCAAAGATAATGTCTAAAGAACGAACAAAGAATATTCGTGTATTTACTTGGAATTAAAAAAAACTATTAAATCACGAAACAATACGTTATTATTTTGAACTCCTTCACGCGTACCAGATCATTATAGCAGTAATAAACAGGGCTGTCAAAATAAAATTTGATAGAATTATCGAAAACTATGTAAAATATCACTTTTTCTTTATTTTTAACAGTAGATTGCCTTTGACCTCTGGTGTCATGCATATGCATCATGTGGTTATATATTATGTATGTATATAATAATATAGTTAGATATTATATTATGAATGCTTGTTAGACAGCAATGTTGCCGCCCAAAAAATATGATTATGTACTGCCAATTTTTCTTTTAATGATCAAAAATGCAGAAATTCATTATATATAGTAAAAAAAAACCTTTTCCTGAAATTTTTTTAATTTTAAAACTAGAACTGTTTTAGTTACAGAAATCAAATTAAAGTCTTGGTAATAGTTACATAATACTTTATTAAAGAGACTTTGCTTATCACTACCTACTGCATTTTGGAAACTTCGAATTTCGTGTTAATGATCTCTTCGTCCGAGTCCAAAAGCGGAAGAGTACTGGCCGGTATGTTCTCCTCGACCCAACGCAGGTCTGATTCAAGAGAATTAGTGTTGGGTTCGGGCTGAGAGTCCCGGCCCTCTGGGTCCGTGTTGATGCTCGATCCACGCATCTTGACTCCGTATGCATCATTCACGAATTGCTCCTCTTCCTCTGTCAATTTAGATATATAGATAATAATATATAGTTCAGTTCCTTTATCTATATGGGAAAAAAAGCTCATACTACACTGCTGGTGGTGGCTCATTCTACTGGTGAAAGAGCGTCTTGTGAGCCCGCACGGGTATGTACCACACAGCCCCGCCTATTTCTGTCGTGAAGCAGTAATGCGTTTCGGTTTGAAGAATGGGGCAACCATACTTAGACCTTAGAACTCATATCTCAAAGTGGGTGGAAGCATTTACGTTGTAGATTTCTATGGGAAACTTGAGACAGGACGGTGATTTCGTTCTTTTTTATTGCTATGGATGGACGGGCTTACGGCCCACCTGATTTTAAGTGGTTTCGGGAGCCCATAGACATCTACAACATAAATGTCGCCACCCACCTCGAAACATAAACTCTAAGGTCTCAGTTTTTACAGTATAACGGCTTCCCCACCCTTCAAACCGAAACGCATTACTGCTTCACTCACTCATCACTATAAAATTTAGATTTGTATTTTTGTCTGCTGTCATGAAGCGATGCAGAGATCTTATATGTGGACACGCGATTAGCGTCCTGCCTTCCGATTACAGCAGGAAAAAGAACAGCAATATTTGTTTGTGTGAAGCGTTATCTTCAAATAATTATCTCTAACCAGGGGGTTTAATAAAAAAAAAAAACTTTTGTACTTCAAAGTTGTTGGCTATATCTTGTGCGTATGTACAAAAAGGGTAAAGGACAATGTCCAAAAGTGGGCCAACTTTATGTCAAAACTATTTGTACTTGAAAAACTATGCCTTATTTTTTCACGTTGTTTAGTTTATGTATCAACATTTCTTTCAACCTGGCATTGTTTTCCAAAAAAATAAATTACTTATTTGATAACATCCCAAAACTATCCATGCCATAGTTTTTAAATTCGCCAATAGGCAAAGGGCTTAGCCCATACAGCTTTATAGCAAACCTATATGCTGTCAAACGAAAGAGTTGTTTGTGACTTGAACAACAAATTAAAAAAATATAGCTAATGCTTATGATTCACAGGCTTCTTAGTTTATTTTTGTTCAATTCAATATTTATATATTGTAATAATAATTATTACTTAAAACCATGAATAATTTAATATTTTTAGATATTAATGATTCCATTAATAAAAATATCAATGGCCTACCATTACTTTATTCTTATTATATATGATCAGAGAGTTTTGGCAGCAACCCGAGTGAAGCGTCACTTGAATTTTTATTTTTATGTTTTTTTTATAGTTTATTGTGTAATTTGTATTATTTGTATTTGTAATATTGTGTATAAAAGGTCTGCGTAAACTCATGCTCAGTCATTGTGGTATTCGTCGAGTTGACGTCAAAACTCTCAAAAAGCAACAAAAAGAGATACACCGGCTTTTTATTGACATAAAAATATATAACTTCGACAGACTAGGCTGTATAGGCTACGCTCTTTGCCTACTTATTGGTGAATTTAAAAACAACAACAACAATATCGTTGCCGGCTTCCGGATTTTCATTTCATTTTATTATTATTATGAGGATATAATAATAAAACCGTTTAATAATAAAATGTACGTAAGGGCTTATTTCTAGCAACATTAACCACAATTAACTTATTTAATACTGTAAATAATTATGAGAGCGATTATTGATTTCGAAGAAAACAATGAACAACTTAATTTTAGCTACAGAAAAAAACAGATTTCTCTTAAACCTGGGTGAGAATATAAAAATCGTTTTCTGAATATGAAACGATATTTCTTTGTCTATCAAATTAAGTTAAATCCATCATGACAGGACAACTTTTTTTAGGGGCCCAAACGCCCATAGAAAATGGGCATTGTCCTTTGTGAGTTTTGAAGTTAGAAAAACATTAATTACCATCGTCGTCTTCCGCGTTGTCCAAAAGCGGAGTGAAAGCGTATCTTTGGTTATTGTTTGTCGGCCGCCAGAGTATCATGATCACAGTAAGTACACAAGCAAATAAAATGTGCCAATAGGCTTCGTCCATCCACACCTCCTTCCATTCCTGAAATAAATATGTTTTTTTTAAACTAAATTCCATTCCATGCCATTTCATTTTTGATTGTTGGCAACATTAAATTTATCAAAACATGGCCGAATTTTTTGGCGGTAACCTCAAGAGTGATGTTGTGTGAAATATTTTTTTCTTAATTAAGTATTTCTGTTGGTTTAAACGTTTATTTATTTATTTTATAGGGGCATGGACGGGCTCACGGCCCACCTGGTGTTAAGTGGTTACCGGAGCCCCCTAGACCACCACCAGGTGGGCCGTATGATCGTCTATGCCTACAAGGGCAATAAAAAAAATCGATTAAATCGAAACCCAAGACTGCTTCGCTACAAGAGCAAACGGGGCCAAGGAAACGCCCTATTAAACATGGTTGACGCAAATTAATAAATAATCAGAAGCAATTCATCTCACGGATCGTACCTACTTACGCATGACTTATTACTATTGTATGACCAAAAAAATTATACCGATACAATAATCCAGTTCGTAACTTTCCACATAAATTTTATTGAACTGGAAATTGAATTTATGTTGGCAACACAGTACTAGTAGTAGATAGCACTAAAAATAAGTATGTACTTGCTCAGTTTTATTTTTATCAAAAAATCCTTTTTTCGTAAAACAATATGGAGACGAATAAAATTATTGATGACTAGCTGTAACCGCCCGCTTCGCTGGGCATTTAAAATTAACATTATAATTTATTGTCATTATTATTAGGGAGTCCAACACTCATATAAATATTAGCCTATCCATTAAGTACATGCATTTTCTACATAGATACCAATCGGATGCATGGTTCAATAGTTATAACGGAACATCCGTAAAAACCACTGCAGATTTATATCTAATATATAAAATTCTCGTGTCACGGTGTGCGTGATTGAACTCCTCCGAAACGGCTCAACCGATTTTCGTGAATCTTAGCGTGCATATCGGCCAGGGTGGAGAATCGGGCAACATCTATTGTTCATCCCCCTAGATGTTAAGGGTGGTCCACCCCTAAATTTTATTTTTTATTTTTTAGACAATTTTTTTGTTTTTATTTACTTTATGATACAGCATACAAAAATACATACATCCCAAAATTTTCACCCCTATACGGTCAACCCTTATTTTTTATTTGTTAATCCTTACACACTTATAATAAATTAGTTTTTTTTTCTACACTAGAAAGTCCCTAGAAATCTTATATATGGCAAAACAACGTTTGCCGGGTCAGCTAGTATTAGTATAGATTTAAAAATTGTTACATAATTTTACGGCACGTCTCAAATTTGAAGATGCAATTGATTGTGTTATCGACACTCACTGTGATGCAGTTGAGGAATCTGAACGATTTAATGGAATACAGCATGAACACGACGGACGATATGACGGCGAATATCAGCGTGTTCGTGAAATGTTTGTACAGAGACAGTTTTATGGCGTTCCTGAAACAAATAATAATATAATCGGTATCAACAAATTTCACAGTCCATTTGTGAATGAACAAAAAGTCATCAATACGTTTAAATGATGTTCACGTACGTAAGCGGTGCGAATTGGTTTTTAGGTTTAACCCTTGGAGCGCGCACCGTCGATATATCGACTCTCTATTAATGCGTATAAAGTCGGAATATCGACTAAAGCGCAGTTTGATTATAGGTATCAAACTGTATGGACGTGTCTTAGCGCGCGCAATTATAACGTTTTTAAGAAGTGAATAACATTTATAAATAACAATTTAAAATTATTTTGATGTGAATTTAGCATAGATTTTTTTTAAGTTAAGGGTTTTAAAAAGGTTTTTCAAAAATTCTTTAACAATTTCTGCAAAATATCTGAAAATAAGGTCATCTCTAAAAGGGTTAAAATAATAATACACCTATACGAGTCTGAACATAGACACTATAGAGTTCATTGCGAGCGATCTGAACGCCGATGCCTTGACAGTTCATACATCCCACGTAATGGTTACTTCATGACAATTGTCGACATGAGTTATTTGAGATCCACTTTTCCTAAGTTTTATAGAAAAAGAGAGGGTAGTTAGCATAATATTATCTAATATCGACGAATAACACCATAGTCGTCAAAATCGTCAAAAATAACAAAATAGTAAAATAATTAAACCACGGCTAAGGCGTAAAGTTTTAATACGGTTAGTTTTTAAGCTTATTAGTACTGATTATTTTTGCGACCGAAATCATTCTCTTAATTTTAATAGATACCGATTTGTGTTGCGAAAGTTTAAGCGAAACTTCATTCCATTTAATTGACAAAGAGACTTGGCTGTATCGAAATTATCGGAATGTGATACTTTTTACTGGTGGTAGGACCTCTTGTGAGTCCGCACGGGTAGGTACCACCACCCTGCCTATTTCTGCCGTGGAACAGTAATGCGTAGGGTGCTTTTGAAGATATTATTGAAATAATAATTCCTCTACTCATATCTGTCAGAAAAATATTTATAACTGATAACAGCATGCACCACACGCTTATTTTTTGCAATAAAATCACTTAAAATTAAAATTAAAAAATTAATAAAATTAAAATAAATTAAAATTTCTTACACTATTTTTAATTCAAATTTATTAAAATTTATTTTCTATTTTTTAGTTGAATTTCAATTTTTTCAATTTTTTTATAATATTGAATTGTCATCGGTCCTCGATAAATCTACAAAGTTTGAATGAAATCTGGCCGTTTAGTGAGCCAAAATTGCGTCTAAAGGGGTCAGTTACAAACATACAAACATACGTACCTCCTGAGCTGCAGCGTGCGCATGGTGTGCGCGAGCGACACGAACACCCACCAGCAGATGGCGCTGTCGAGCAGCGAGAGCGGCACCTCGGACAGCAGCAGGTCGCGGTTGGAGCGGTCCGCCTTGTGGTGCAGCCGCAGCCACGCGTTGATGCCGCCCAGCACCGCCCACAGCGCGCCCGTGCCCGCCACGCGCTGCAGCGCCGGCCCCAGCCGCGGCCTGCAGCCAACACGAACGACGTATTACAATCTAACCCACCTGGTCTTAAGTGATTACTGGAGCCCATAGACATCTACAACGTAAATGCGCCACACACCTTGAGATATAAGTTCTAAGATCTCAGTATAGTTACAACGGCTGCCCCACCCTTCAAATCGAAACGCATTACTGTTTCACGGCAGAAATAGGCAGGGTGGTTGTACCTACCCGTGCGGGCTCACAAGGGATCCTACCACCAGTAAACTGCAAGACTTGCCCTGAGCTTCTCGCCGGATCTTCTCAGTGGGTCACGTTTCCGATCCGGCGGTAGATTCTGCGAAGCACAGCTCTTGCTAGGACCAGTGTTAGCAGCACTCCCGGTTAGAACCCCGTGAGCTCACCTACACACTAGGGTAAAGCTGAAATAGCTTTTCAAGACTATCACCATAGATAGGGGAAAATAAAAGCGAGACTATTTGAAGAATTTTTAGCCAGTGCGTATGAGGTCTTTCCAATGCAAAATTTAACTTGTTTACGCTATGAGACCTTATAAGCCTCAAAAATGATTTCGAATATACCCATACCTATAGAAATGTGGACTTATCGCCTTACGCACCAAGTGAAAAGTTTTGACTGCGGCATCAAAGAATAATCGCGTGTGGGGCTTTTAAGTCGCATACGTGAAGCAAAAACTTTGTAGGTACCCCTTTTTACGAAAATTGCGCGAACGGAGGAGTATGAAATTTCCCACACTCATAAAGAATGAGAAGGAATGCAGAATGCTAATCTTTTTTGAAATTGAGGCCGTCAGCGTAAAAGTGGCCAAACCCACAATTTTTCATATTCGTGCTTATATATATTGCAATTTATTTAATACATTTTGATGCAAAAACGGTTTATCCCTAGTTTCACAAGTAAATAACAGATGGCTTTGTAATTATTTTTGCGCGAATTGTTTTTGGCTACGAAGCCATGTAAACGTAAATTCATACCTCATTATCTCCATACTAACTATGAGATTTCGCCAAGACTACACTACATACAAATAATAATAAAGACAAACAATATTAATCTATTCTCAATTTGAACACAGGCTTTAAACAATAACAAAAGTTTGACAGTGAACAAAGAATATATACTTATGTACAAATGTGTTGGGTCAAATATATGGTAGTGGGTATTATGTTTTTTTATTGATATCATGTATGTATTTCATATCCATAATTAAAAAATATATATAAAGATGTTCTGCACTCCTGTTCTATATTCTGTATAAGTGTGAGTAATTTCATACTCCTCCGTCCGCGCAATTTTCGTAAAAAGGGGTACCTACAAATTTGATACTTCACATATTAATATTATAGAGATGAGCAACGTAATAGTTATGAAGGCTTACTTGACGATGCCGAAACCCAGAGACACTATGATGACCAGCATCCGCGCCAGGGCTCGTTTCGCGACAGACACCCACTCCGCAAACATGTACGCCTCGGCGTTAAAATAACTGCAATTATAATTAAAAAAAAACATTTCCATACAAGGTTTTTTTCTATTAAATAACTAATTAATTTACTTAAGCTAATTGGATATAACAATAGATAAACAAAAACACAGATTCGCCTACAACAGAATTTGCCAATGAAACTTAAACATTAAAGTGGCAGCCCTGAAATGTCTACAACAGTAGACTATTGTACGCACTTAACCACTTAAGACTGTGGTGTGATATAGTTAAGCCCATACTCGGACTATTTGGCGGGAACGCGAGGGGTGAAGTTGTGTGATTTGTTTTATTTTGTCTATTTAATGGTTTTTTTCAGTTTAAACGGTGGTTTATTAACTGTTTAGTATCCGTGAAAGAGCACAAATATGGGAAAATGAAACAAAGTCGCTGAACGTAACTTCTCGGGATCGTCCAAAAAGTCCACTGAAAAAGTCTCAGTAAATGACCATCATTTTACTGAGATTATGTTTCATTTCAAATAATCTCATTTCATTTTCATTTCATAATATCTTATATAAAAAAGTATTCATTAAAATTAAAATAAGACTCGACCTAAAAATCTTAGTTATCAGGTCATAAAACCCCTTAAAAATATTATTATTAATTAATTTGTTTGTTTTATTAATTGTAATATTTTAAGTTTTACATATTGTCACTTTTAAGCAATAAATTAATTTCAGTTTGATATTTTTCTAGTAATTATGTATTTTTGTGTATCTGAAGTAAATATGTTGTATTCTTTGTACTAGGAGCTTGAGATATAGGTTTTATTTCCTAGTTCAAGCACAGATGTAATTTTTTTAGTTACAACGGCTGCCCCACTCTTCTAACCGAAACGCATTCCTGCTTCACGGCAGAAATAGGCAGGGTGGTGGTACCTACCCGCGCAGACTCACAAGAGGTCCTACCACCAGTAAAAAGATGTAAATGTATGATGTAAATTATGATTGTGTGTTCTGAAAAAAGCCCATACCCAGATCTATTGATAGATGAGTAGACCCCGTAGTAAGTGGCCGTCTCGACCATGCCCAGCAGCGCGACGCCCCCGATCCAGTACTGTATGCGCAGCAGGTCGCGCCACTGCAGCCCGCACACGGCCAGCCAGCACGCGCACAGCACAGTGTACACGCCGCACATCGTGCCGAAGAACTGCCAACGATAGCGCACCGTCAGCCGCTTCTCGCAGATTCGCGACAATGTGCATTCCGATTGTGGGTACTTTTAACACCTAACCCATAGACACAGGTCAATGAGTTTCTCGCCGAATCTTCTCAGTAGGTTGTGATTCGGTGGTAGATTCCCTCTTGCTAGAACTAGTGTGTTTTTTTATTGCTTAGATGGTTGGACGAGCTCACAGCCCACCTGGTGTTAATTGGTTACTGGAGCCCATAGACATCTACAACGTAAATGCGCCACCCACCTTGAGATATAAGTTCTAAGGCAGTGATTCTCAACCTTTTTTTTGTTGCGGCACAGATTTAACGATTTCAAAATTTGGCGGCACACAAAAAAAAAAGATAAAAATTATTTACTTACTACAACACACTGCATAAATAGTTTAACAAAAAATTTTAATATACGAAATAAACTAAAATTTACTATAATTTTTTTTTGTGGATTTCAATATATATTCATGTTTAAAATATTTTTCTTTTAAAATGATATAATTTAATAATATTAACATTATTATATATTCGCAAAATTTGGCGGCACACAAAAGTGCCGCGGAACAGTGGTTGAGAATCACTGTTCTAAGCTCTCAAGTATAGTTACAAATTAGCAAATTCTCTCAGGTTGAGGCCGTGAACTCATCTACCCGTCCGGGCGTGAATTGGCTCCTTAGACTACCAACGAATAGGTAAAGGAAAAAAACCTTTAATCCTTTCGCTACGCCAGATTTAGCCGCAGTGTTTCGCACGAAATGGAACTCCGTACTGAAAGTTCGCAAAGGGCGGTATTTTGTGGCAGGTGACTATAGCCACCGATAGCGAAAGGATTAAATTGTGTAATTTTCAAAAAGAACATCGGAAGCTTTAGCATATTAGCATATTTAACCATATTTCTGCTGATTGCGTTAAAATTTCGATGCTCGTGTAAATTATTATTTTTGTGACTGGCAACACTTTTCATTCTGGTGATGTCTACATTAACTAAAAAAAGGATTGTGTGGTTTTATGAAACCACGGTAAAAGTGAAACTTTTTTTCACATTATAGACATTTAACTCTGACAAACAACATTTACATTAAACACTGACAAAAACAAACAAAATAGCGTGGTGCACTGGTACAAATGGGTAATAGTCTATACACTACACGGTCAGCTGCTGCGAACTATAGGCGCCACCATATTGGCCTTGGCTGCTCTGACGAGCGCCTTTCACTTTATCCCTACTCCGCGGCCGATCGTCACGCGACATGCAACACACAGACGAAAAACTGAGAGGATGTAATAAAAGTTTCACTTAAAAATCAAAACTAATTATTATACAGAATGCGTTACGTGTATGAAACGAACATCATAGAGAAGCGTGACGTACCGGAAGCAGGGGCCATATTGCCGCGGCCAGATATCCAGATGGCGCCACCATCTCGATTCGTACGAATGCTTTGAACTTCTGGTTACTCCTCACGCGCATCTGTAGCACGTACACACCCTCTTTTTCGACGATCAATAGAGGCGGTAGTTTCTGATAAAATATTAAATGCAGTCAATACCCTTTGCCCAAGGCTTTCAAGTAAAAAAAAACTATAATTATAGCTCTTATTCTAATGCAGTTTAATTCTATGAGAAATACAAAAACGGTTTCTCGGCTAATTGAATAGCTCATTTTGGACCAACGTTAGGACATGGAGCAGCGCGTTGTATTCTATCTATATCTATACGAATATATAAATCTACAGTGGTTTTTACGGGTGTTCCTTTATAACTACTGAACTATGCATCCGATTGACTTGAAACTTGGTATCCATGTACAAAATACATGTAATTAATGGATAGGCTAATATTTATATGAGTGTTGGACTCCCTACACCAGTTGCGGGGGCGTTAATGGTGAGAATCTTTGTGGGGGTGAGAAATAATAATGTTAATTTTAAATGCCCAGCGAAGCGGACGGGTACAGTTAGTCAGTTTATAAAATTAAACGGTCTCTTTTAGTACAAGAAAAGCCGAACGTGCTGTATCCATCTTTTTTAAATCAAGCGCATACCTTTAAAATACTAAAATCGAAAAACTATTTTTCCATTACATTTTAGAAGTTTAAGAGAGAGAGAGAGAGAGAATACACTTTATTGCACAAGTTACATTCAAAAAAACAGTCAAAAAGCACATATGTACAATAGGCGGTCTTATCGCTAAAAGCGATCTCTTCCAGACAACCGGTTAATTTACAGAAATTCTGTAAAATATAAAAATATAGCAGGTATGTTGCATAAAGTTTAGCATAAACTAAGAACTTTGGTTTGAGCCACTTCGATTCTATTAGGTGCGATGTGTAACTCTGGAATCACTCACAGATTGCGATGTTATGGCCGTTTCAATTTTATCAACGGGCTGATCCTTCCCGCCGTCGAACACAAGCGAAGAATTACTGTGACACGTTCTTGTCTCTTGAACGCTCATCGCTTGGTAAGACCTACTGGCGTTGACGTCTCTCGTTGTGCGTTCCAAGCGATCGGTGCACGTAACTATCCTCTGGAATAACAATAACAGGTTTTTTTTATTGCTTAGATGGGTGGACGAACGCACAGCCCACCTGGTGTTAAGTGGTTACTGGAGCCCATAGACATCTGCTACTTAAATGCCGACACCCACCTTGAGTTATGAGTTCTAAGGTATCAGTAGAGTTACAACGGCTGCCGGACCCTTCAAACCCAAAACGTATTACTGGTTTACACGGCAGAAATAAGCAGGGTGATGGTACCTACCCGTGCAGACTCACAAGGATATTCGGATCTCTTTTATAGACCAATGTGTTTGTGTACGGGTAGGATACGCAGGTTTTATTACCTTCGATAAATAGAAATAAAAAAAAACTTAATTGACAGAGAAATCTTTAGTGCCTTTGTTTCCTTAGATACGTTGCTATTGAAAAGTAATAGTACAAAACAAGATGTACCTGTTCAAAATAATGTAAGTATTCCGGAGAACACATTTCAGGTGTCCAATCGTATGTGATGTTCAATGGTACAGCTGCATCACAGTGCACTGAAAATTTTATTAAAGTTTGTAAACTTATTTTCTATCACTATGTCAAATCACTTAGTGAAAAATTCTGTAGAATTAGATGATAATGCATTCCTTGTAATTTTCATTCAATTATAAGAATAATATTGTATATAATAAATAATAATTAATATATATATAATAAATAAAAAAATGTTTTTTGCTTAGTTGGATGGACGAGCCCACAACTCACCTGGTGTTAACTGGTTACTGGAGCCCCTAGACATTTACAACGTAAATGCGCCACCCACCTCGAGATATAAGTTCTAAGGTCTCAGTATAGTTATAACGGCTGCCCCGCCCTTCAAACCGAAACGCATAACTGCTTCACGGCATAAATAGGCAGGGTGGTGGTACCTACCCGCGCGGACTCCCAAGAGGTCCTACCACCAGTGATTACGCAAATTATAATTTTGCGGGTTTGATTTTTATTACATGATGTTATTCCTTCGCCGTGGAAGTCAATCGTGAACATTTGTTAAGTACGTATTTCATTACAAAAATTGGTACCCGCCTGCGGGAATCGAACACCGGTGCATCGCTACATACGAATGGACCGGACGTCTTATCCTTTAGGCCACGACGACTTCAAATAACTGGAAACAAATCATGCACTGTCACCCGGCCTCAATTTAGGTACACCAGAGACTGATATATGTTTAAATATATATGTACCTATGTAGATAATATACACTCAGATAAAGAGCAAAAAACCCATTTATAACACAATTTTTGCCCGATATGGGAATTGAACCCACGACCCACGACCCGCGGCGGAGAAGTCAGCTGCGCCACTGGGTCAGTCTTATTATCTCTAGACGCGGGGAAACCCTAGGCGCGGGGACCTCGTGGGAGAATCGGACCCCGGCTCGAAAAAAAATAATGACTTGTTAATATTAAGTTATCTTCATCTTATTCAAGAGTATGAATAGTTATTGATAGAATTTTTTTTTGAAATTTGCAAAAATGAACTAAGAATTTTTACACTACAACTTAAAACTGTACCCCTCAAATATGGCAGAACTCTTTGTTGATTAGTAGTTAGTGATCTGAACTCAATTACCCTTTATGTCTCATATGTGTATTATTCCAGCTACCTTAATGTAGGCGAAAATCCTAGTTGTTAAACAATAAATACTTAAATATTAAAAATATGAAATATGAAAAAAATATCATGAAACTACAGTTTTAACTTAATATTGATGTTACAAACTCTACATTCCTCAGTCAGAATGCTATGAAACATATTGTGAAGTCACAAGTATTGATCTATGACGCATTTCAAAAGAGGGTCTTTTATATATCTGATATCTGCAAATAGTTATCAGTTAACCAACATAATTGTAACTGCTGAACTATCAGATTGTGTTATCTGAGTTTTTCAACTTATTTTTAACATAAAAGTACACTTTAAATTGGTTTCACTATACTTTGCAAGTGTGGTTAATTACCTCGTTAGGTATCTAATCAATTAGTGACTAACTATAGTTATTCCAATTCAAAGGTTATTGATAGAGTTTTGCTATTTGTTTTCCCAGTAAAGTAAAATTATGAAATTTGTGTTAAGTAACCAACATTAATTATTAACAATTTCAGTTAATTATTAGTTCAGTTAGTAGAAATTATGAGATAAAGTGATAAATTCAACTGTAAAATAACTATGAGACTGATTATTAGATTGAAATTTCAATAAAATCTTTTTGCTATGTACAGAACATCACACTGTAATAAATAGTTTTAAATAGACAATTTCTATATTAGGAATGAAATAGAATGATAATTAAACTGAGCAGTCAATTTGAATTGACATGCATACAATGTCCAATTTGTCAAAATCGAAAGTAAAAGTAGATTCACAATCGGCTTGATAATTAAATTGACTTAGTCACTTATTTAACTCCTTATATATTTTTTTAGTTGATCTAATTGAAATAAGTAACAGTTATTGCCTGAGGCAGAATCAATTTTAAGTCCATTTTAAAAATATAAAAGATTTTTTTTTGGTATGACTGTTGGGTGACCATACTTTAAACTGCCAAAAAGGAAAGCAATCGTTTTCTTAAGCTGAAGATATATCTCACTATTAATTATCCCGGGAAAAATAAACCCGAAAGTGGAAATCTTGTGGATGTTGAAAGGCCAAATTTCTCCTGTGGACTATCTATAATTTAAAATTAGTTGATACTTTATGAATATCAATTTAAAAACTCCCTTCTACTGACCGAACTCTATAATTTAAGGACATCAAAAAATTAGGCAAAAACTTGGCTGTACAATCACTCACTATCAGGTGGTCCTACAAAGGTAACAAAAAAAGTAATAGTGTTACAATCTGCTTTGGATAATCTTTTTTTTTTAAATAAAACCTCATTCCCGTTTTGCCTCTCCTGTTGTACCTTGCCTTTGTGTGCCAAGATATAGTTGATTCAGTTTATCATCTGATTTAAGAAATTTGTAGTAGTTGATTTATAACAGATTTGTTTGTCACTTATTTTAAGAGCATTAATAAGTAATACTTACTTGCAATTATAAGCTTTGTATTCTTAAATAATGACTTTGCTAATGTGAAATGACAATCATCCTGAAACCAAAAAGTATATTGCATTACTGGGCATATTATGGTTTGATAGGAACTTGGGTGGTTCAGATTTCACAAGTAGAGTAGATCAGATTACATCCCTATGGTGGTGCAACCAAATTGGCAACTTAATGCCTATAAAAGGTAATTTGTCAAACAGCAAGTCTTATCTTGGGCTAGATTTATCCTAACCTAGTCTAATCTTATCTCCTTTCTTTTCTTCTTTTTGCTAACTTCTTTTCTTTCCATATGTCCCATAATAACTGGGTAACTAAAATCTATACTTAGGTATTTAAATTATTGGTATAGACAATAGATCTGTTATGACACAGCTGCTCCCAGTTGAGGATAAGATCAATTGGTTTCTAAAGTTTTGAAGCTATTTAATAATATTTGTTAAGAATATTGTAAGATTACTGCTTGTAGTATGTTTCAAACCCTGGCAGAGTTTCATCCTCAATATAAGTACATGGACCTTGTTCTCATTAAGATATGATTGTTATTTACAGTTATTACAGTTAATTATTAGTTTAGTTTCACAGCTTTTGGCTTGGGCCAAGGCTAAAGGGAGCCAAATCTACAGTTTTAACTGAAAATCATGTTTGATTGGACTATGTTGCAGCTATACCAGGTTATTATTTTCATGAACGTACACTAAGTAAAGATGTGACAATATTATCGTCTCTTTTTTTTTCAATCACTCAATTCTGACGACACGTTCAATACTATTTCTGTATCTATTATTTTTATCTAACTACCGCAGCTACCCAAGATAATTATGAAATTAAACTGAAATTTTATTTAAACTTACGCCACTAAGTTCCAAATCCCACTTTCCGACATCGGAAAAACTGTGCGTACATTTTACAATTACAATAAAAATAAGAAGCTTAAGAAACATTGTAAATTACATAAATGTACTGTAATATTATAAATATTTCATTGCAGTCAATATGTAACCAAGCAACATTTTCCAATAAAAATCTATTTTTTTGCATTAAGCCACAACAACGAATAATATGATCACCGCGCTTAGAATTAACTTTTCTGACATTGATTGATATTTGACAAATGTATGTGTTTTTTTGACAAAATATACATCGCGATAACTTTACAACCTATCTCCTCAAATATTAAGTGCATTATTTAAGATCTATCTGTAGACGTCGTTTGTTTACTTAAGTCAAGAATTATTAAATATTACTTAGATATTCTCTACTATAATACTCCATTTAAAAAAAAACATTGGCTTTACATACCCGTTGAAAATAATGAATTTTGTAATTATTGCAAAGCTTAGCTGTATGGTCAACGTCCTCTTGCCTGATTTTCAAGAAAAACAAAACGACCCACAAAAAGTAATTTGACATTGTGGTTGTCGTGTCAAAATATTTTTGTTTTGTTCTTGGAATATTTAATAAAGTAATCGGTTATTGTGTTATTATTCTAATGTTTTATGTTTACTTTTATTACAAACCGTACATTTTGTTACACCTAAAGACTATTTATCATAATTAATGAAGTTAAAATTTCATCCAACTTGTTACTGTATTAGTCATGTCAGATTGCGCGCTGGTTACCAATGTAAGCGAACACGATGCGAGCATGGATGTGGGGAGCGACAAGTCTCTATTCGAGCCTACTGTTGATATGATGGTCAATGATTTCGATGACGAGAGAACTTTAGACGAAGAAGAAGCTTTAGCTGCAGGCGAGCAACAGGACCCTAAGGCCGAGCTCAATAGCCTTCAGAAGGAGGGAGATATGCCTTTAGAGGAACTCCTGGCTCTGTACGGTTACGACAGAAACATGGAAAAGCCAATTCCTGACCAAGTTCCAGAAGTAGTTCCTGAGGAAACTGAGAGAACGGAGAGGGCTGAGAGGACTGAGAGAAATGAATCTGCCCTTTCCCAATTATACAATGAGAATGCAAACCCTGAAGCTACTAGATGCCTTCGGTCTGGCTCAAGGCCTCCCTCTGAGGAGGAAGATGATTATGATTACAGTCCAGATGAGGAAGACTGGAAAAAAACTATAATGGTTGGTAGTGACTATCAAGCTGCTATACCTGAGGGTCTATGCAGCTATGATGATGCATTACCTTATGAAAATGAAGATAAATTACTATGGAATCCTTCTATTCTTGATGAAAGAATCACTGAAGAGTACATGCGAAAAGTGTGTGCTCTGAATTTAGGCACCGGGATTGAATTAATTCCAAAAGGAAAACAGCTTCGTGATGATGAAGAGGCCCTGTACTTATTGCAACAATGTGGCCACAATGCAGAGGAAGCCTTGAGACGGAAACGCATTTCTGCACAAACTCCACCTCACGCAAGTCTTTGGTCAGAAGAAGAATGCCGAAATTTTGAAAATGGCCTAAAAGCACACGGAAAAGACTTTCACTTGATAAGGCAGAACAAAGTACGAACTCGGTCTGTCGGAGAACTCGTCCAATTCTACTATATTTGGAAAAAAACTGAAAGGCATGATATATTTGCAAATAAGGCTAGATTGGAGAAGAAAAAGTATACTTTGCATCCTGGTCACACTGATTACATGGATAGGTTCTTAGAGGAGCAAGAGGCAAGTGGAGGAAGTGTGGTGCGACCTGCATCTCCATCGCCCATGATGGACTATGCAACCTCTCCTGTCACTCAACCCGACCCTCTTGCTCTTGGTGAGAAAGAAGTATTTTCACAGTTAAATACACATAACACACCCCCGAGGGCCATGTCGACAGAAGAACCAGAAGCAGACACTGGACCGTAATTTTAATTTCTCACTTTGTAGAATGCACTGTTTGTAATATACTTAAGTAAATTTTAAATTAGAAAGATAAAAAAATGCTGTAATATGTGTTTAATTCTGTGTTGATTTTATTTGAAATAGCTTTTGCTAAATTGTATATTTCAACCTAAATAATGAATATAGTTTATAGTTTATATGTCAATATTCTTACTGTAGACTTAAACTATAAGCAGTGGTTGTTTATGTACGTTAGTATAATAATGTTCATTGAAAAAAATGTAGAATGAAGAATGTCTCACTATAATCGTTGATTCAGGTGTATTGTTCAGTAACCGTGAAGCATGGAGCAAGAGCTTGTTTTTAAGTCACAAAAATAAAGTAATTTTTAAAAGTTTAAAATTCTTTAGGAATATTATCCATTAATACCTAATGTAGGTTAGTATATAAATATATCAATCTTAATGTTAAAAAAATATAGGTATAGAATTCTATCATTTTCTGTAGATGTGTATTAAGCTCTTGTGACATAGCTTTCAAGAAATCAATTTTAATGATTTTACATATTTAATTTTGGATTATCCAATTTGTAATTTAAATTAGTAATTTTCTAAAATCTGTATACTCTTTATAGACACAGCTATTGTGTTCATTAATTTTCTTAACAATGCAAACTATAAAAGTGAGTAAATGCTTGTGAGATTGTACACAGCGAAGGCTGCTTAGTCAGGGATGACTATAGATTGTTTCGAACAACTACTAACATAGATAAGACATTTAGAAACTTATTTTTTTTAACACCTATATGATACACAGACCTGTTTTTGTTCATTTTTTTTTAACACCTATATGATACACAGACCTGTTTTTGTTCATTCCTCATCTGCATGGATGCATAAATTAAAAATCGCCTATCTTTTGTTTGTTATTGTACACATAATTATTATTGTATCCATAAATAGTACCTAATTTTCTAATTTCATATATTAAATACCAATCTCAGATTTAATTCACTGTTTCATACATACAGATAGATAGGCTGCTGAAATTATCAGGGTTTATTTTATTGCCATTTTGCTATGGGATTTTAAAACGTAATAGACCTAAAATAAGATAAATTCCCTTATTCATAAATCATATTGACATTAATTATTTCTACAGTATTTTTATATTTCTGACTGGATTTTATTTAAATGAATGAGTATGGTGGTTTATTAGCATTTGATTTGTACAATGTACAAAATAATATTAATTTGTTAATAATATTTGTGAATAAGGGAGTAAAATAATTAAATTATGAATTTATGAATGTACCTGTCTATATCTAGATGGGTGTCGTATAAAATTGTGGATTATTTCATGAAAATAAACAGTGCAAAATGTTTTTGTTTATTTCACACTAGCTTTTGCTCGCGACTTCGTCTGCGTGGAATAGTTACTTTGGCATAACGCTAAATTTTACCCGCCTCTTCATTTACGTAGAAAGTGAAAATATTTTTGAATAATAGAATGTTGAGGAGTTATTTAAGGTACCAAAATCCCGTTTTTTATCCGACTTCAAAAGAGAAAGTTATCAATTCGACCGTAATTTTTTATTTAGATATGTTCATGGATTCCTCGAGAATGCTTGAACCGATTCTGATAATTCTTTTTTTTTTTTCTTCCAAAAGGTAGACTTCTCGAATGGTCCTGTTTACAACAGATTGATGATCGGATCTTGGAGAAATCCAGAAAAATCTTTAATTGTCAAAGCCTATCTTGAAGTGGTTTGGGTGTTTCAATGTTGTAATGAATAACGTATTTATTTATCATCTTCTTTATCAATATCATCTTTGTAAAAACACCTTCAGAAATAATGCTTTATTTTAGAACAAATTTGTATACCATAAAAACGTTATAGTGAGCCAACCTATATAGACATCGAGATTATATTAAATACGTACGTATAATGTACGTAGTACATAATATCTCGATGTATATAGACCTAATTATGCTGTCGCGGACTTTTTTTTAGATCTTTTAAAGGGGAACAATTCTCTCATACATTACTTTAGCGAAACTTAAACCGCAGCGCACGCAGTGGAAGCTCTCAAAAGGAACTAAAACCCCGATTTTGAAATATTCCTCATTGGTGCTCCGCTTGCATTGGTCTTAGCGTAATGTTATATAGCCTATAGCCTTCCTCGATAAATGGGTTATCTATCACTGAAAGAGTTTTTCAAATCGGACCAGTAGTTCCTGAGATTAGCGCGTTCAAACAAACAAACTCTTCAGCTTTATAATATTTAAAAAAAAAGTATAGATAATAATATCTAAGTTTGGAGCCATTAAAATTTTTAGTTACACTTCAGAATCGCTGTAGACAGTGACTACGGTCCTCCCTCTTTCTCTGAAGGAGTCAGTGTCAAGACAATTTTCTCTGAGTCTGAACAAATATGCATAACGCAGTTTGCGTCACTATGTCACGCATGAGAGTGAATTCCTTACTTTGTTTACTCAACTAGGATTTTGTGATGTGTAGGCTACGTTACCCCATTATAATGCTTCGGTAACAATTCTATTTTTTTTTTTTAGGATAGCTGTTGGCCCGAAAGCCTTTCCAGTTTCACCAGGATATGTGGGCGAGCAAAGGCTCAGCCAAGAGGGATGGGATTTGCTAACAGCTGAACAAAGGAGACCTAACAACTCCAGAACAGCTGCTTCGCGGATGAATGTACTATCGGATCGGAATCGCGATCCACTAAGAAACAGCGGGCTGATGGATGGGTTAGGTTACACGTCTAACTCTTTGCCGAGTACGATAAACAGGTTCCTTAAGCCAGTTCCTAGTGTTAGAAACAGTTCAACATGCGTGGGTTGGTTTACCTACTTATACTAATAAATACAAACGATGACATCTTAGATCGAATGCAAAAGGTAATGAGCGGAGGGGCTGTCGTAAAAAGACTGATGGACTGTGTGAAATAGGATATACGAGAGAAGTGTGTAATTGCAGAGATAAAGTATGATAGATCTGAGAGGAAAAAGAAGGCATTTTGCACCGATTCCAGATGTGTAGTAAGCATGTGACTCCGATAGTGAGTTATGGGCAAGAAGAAGAGTAGAATCGAGTAAAAATCAATAGTGTTGAATATCGATATAAAAATAAATTCCTAGAAACTACATTGTAACTTCACTAGTGTCAGTTGTTTAGTTGTTCAGTTGTCAAAATGATTTTTAAACCTTGAATTTCATGAAATTTTCTCCACTCGATATGCACCTAGATACTATCAGTATGATTTTCACATAGGATTTTTTCTAAAACATTTTGTACGAAAGGTGTGTGAAATTTGAACGATATTTACTGTTAAACAATATCTGTTAGAATAGTTGTTGAATTTGATCTTGCAATTCATTTCACAACATCATACAACCTATGTTGTAACGCCGCATACAAATATTGATTGAAATTTCATTGAAAGTTCGAAACCATGACTAGAGAAATGAGTGCTAAAGAGATACTTAATGATTTTAAAGAGAATTATATTAAATTCCGGAAGCTACTTGACGAAGACAGCAAGAATGATCCTGAAAATGCACCATATTTTTCTAAGTACAAAGCTAAAGAAATATTGAATAATATGTATGTTTTTTTAAAGACCTTAAAGACTGAAGGTTCCCCTGTCGATGATACCAAACTCGATGCTATGATCGGATATGTTTTGTTGAACATTGGTATAGTAGAAATGGATACAGAGGAACCTACAGCTAGTGAAAAGAGTCTCAATGAAGCTGTTGATCTCCTTCTGGAAAATGCTCTAAAACCCGAAATAGTTGTGACACTTATTAATGTCTACAACAATATTGGAATCTTATGGTCCAACAGAGATGACCCTGAAAAAGCAAAAGCTTCATTGGTTAAGGGAAAAACTTTGTATGAGGACTTTAAGTGTACTCTACAGATGCCATTACCTATAGAAGTCATTATAAATTATGTTGGGGAAACTTTGATAGATGATTTTATGTATTTGGAAAAATCTTATACTTTGACCTTGTATTATTTAGCTCAGGTGTTTGGTGTGTTAAAGGAGAACTTGAAATCAGCAATATATTGTCATGTAACATTAAGGAGACAGCTGGAATATAATGATTATGAACCTATTGACTGGGCATTGAATTCAGCTACATTGTCACAGTTCTTTGCTGAGCAAAATGGGTTTTACCAGTCAAGGAATCATTTAGCAGCTGCATCAACAATCCTTGATCAATATAAGCAACTGTTGGAGGCTGCAGTTGATCAAGATGAAGAATACTTAGCAAAACTAGAGACTTTTAAACATAGGTCTGCAGATGTTGCTAGGTGCTGGGCCAAATACTGTCTTTTATTGATGATAGCTTCAAAAACTAGGCTACTGGATGATGATGAAAAACTATCAGAGTCTATTACAGGTCAGTTATGCATCTAATATTTCTGTATTTATCCCCTTGTCTTAATTTTCTTAAATCTATGATTTATCTTTGAAATTTTAAAATAGCTTTAAATGAAAACTCTTCATTTCAGATATGTCAAACCTCAGCTTAGAAGACACTGAAAACATTTGTGAAGGTAATCTTAAGAAACTGACTTTTCCGAATCTCGATGTTACAAAATATGAAAGCAAAATAGGAGATAAGTTCCTCCTGACTTATGAAGATGCTAGAGCAATTTTTTTAAGTTGCCAAAACTGGTTGAACCAGGCCAAGGAGTATTATAAACTAGAAACGTTGGCTTCAGATTATATAGAACTTATTTTAGATAGCTCTCAGGCATACAATAATCTAGCATTTTTTGAGGATAATGATGATCGTAGGGCTAAAATGTTGAAGAGGCGAATTGATATGCTTGAAAACTTATTGAATGAAATAAATCCTACATATTATTTACAATACTGTAGACAGATTTGGTACGAACTCGGTGTTGTTTACACAGACATTTTGAACATAAAAATAGATAAATGGCCCAAGAGCGAAGTGACAGTTCAAGCAAGAAAAAAAATTGATTTGCTATGCGATAAAAGTATTGAAAGTTACACCAACTTTATTAATTCGATAAACGATAAAAATGGGAAAGTACCTGCAAAAATTGACCAGGAATTAATAAGACCTCTGATAAATGCTCTTGTTGCAGTCGGTAGGAACAGTATGAAACGCATGGCTGTAAATAAAATAAACCAATTGTGCCATGTTCAGAAAAGCCTTGATTCATACCAAACTGTTGTGGACATCTGTGATACACACGAAGAAGTTGCAGTGATGTTCACTGAAGAGTATAAGTTATGCCAAGAAATGTGTCAGATTTTACCTTTAAAAATCAAGAAGTTGCAAACTGAAATTGCTGGATAGAAGAATTAGTTGAAACTAAAGAGTTTTATGAATTATTGTATGGTTATTAATAAGACTTGCTTTGCTTCATATTTAAAATATAAAAGTAAAAATCAATTTATATTTGCAAAAGTAAACATTCATTATTTTATTAAGTAAATGTTTTATGATCTCGATTATATTACATATTCATAAACTATGTAATCATACCTGGCCAGGCTTTGGTTTGGCTTTGTTTGAAATTAATAACTTCCAAATTAAATAGATTTTGTCACAATTAAATGGGTTTTTAGTATAATCATGCTCGAAAAACGAGCTCTTTCTGAAATTAAAATTGCCTATGTTACTCCTTGAAACGTCGGCTATGTCCGTTAGTTAAAGCTCGTTCTGTGTGTTAAGTGCGAGATTTTTAACGTTTTTGGTAGGTAGTCGAGCCCTTCGTCAAGCGTCAAGCAAGCGACGGGTTCGACGAGGACGGTGACCGGTGCTTGTGGTGCCTAAAAGCACCGTTAATGGATCAGGAGGATCCGTAATGACGTGCTTTGGGCGACGTCGACGGTTTACCATTCGGTCTACTGGGTCGAGTATGTAGTTTCCAGCGGCCACGATGAGAGGGTTCTCATGTCGTGCCGCCTTCTCAAAATGGCGCAGCGATGCCGACTATAGGTACTTACTAACTGAATCGAGCTCCAGGTCATCGTGGAGATCCACGTTCCTCAGGAACCATGGTGCCTCGACGGCTATCCTGCAGAATCGGGATTGAATAACCTGAAGGGATTTCAAGTTGGTGCGGGCTACGTGAGCGAACACTACGCTTGCATACGTCATGACGGGGCGTATGCAAGTTTTGTAGAGAGTTACCTTATTACGGAGGGACAGTTTGCTTCGACTACAAAGCATTGGGTAGAGTCGTTTTAGTATAAACGCGGCACGGTCGCGTACCGTTTTACTATGGGGACGGAATGTCATCCCTCTGTCGAGGGTGACGCGATATTTGACCTTCGAGGCCCACGGTATGGGCTGGCCAAAGAGAGTGATGGGGCTAACGGAGGAGGTGTTTGCGCGCCTATTAAGGAGTGGGATGCTCGAAGTGGTACAGCCTGACGAACACGATTTTTTTGTATTCTAGTGATGTGATGTCGATGAGCGACGTTGACCACTCAGCATCAGGCGGGCCATAAACATTTTCATACGAATTTAGATGCTATTATGAAATTTAAATTTAATAAAAAGAAATTCTTTAGTTATGTGTATCTACCTAAAAATATGACTATATGAATGGGTTTTGAATTTTGCATCCACATTTCATTAATTGTTAAACTGATCAGATACGGTGAATTAAGTTCATACAGCCAAAGGTTCGTATAAACGGCTGTACGGTATAGGCTTAGTATAACATCACTCTACTTCGGTAAAAACACAGAAATTTATTCACATCAATAAAAAACTAAAGTATTTTGAAATTATTGCTTGTCCGGAAAGACAGAGAAAATACATGATTACATTATGTATGTATGGGCAAAATAAAATAATCTAACTATTTTAATCCAATTGCCCAAACACGGTCATGACTTTCGAACACCATCGCACTTCCCGCGACAGCAGATTTATCATATCATATGCTCAGCTGCATAGAAAGCTCATAAATACTTAGGTACCTAATTCTTTACTACGCTCTGTGTATGTAATGTCTCTTTGACGGATTTGAACATATGAGTTGCAACTGGATTCGTCTGTCGTGGGAGTGACTCAAGCGTAAATAATTTCAATAAGTTATCCACGAAAAAAAGGAAGTACATATTATATCCATTATTCAATTTATTCTATAAAATGGAACATAAAACTAATTTCTTTTAAATTAAATATCTAAACGATGTGAAATAAAATAAAAACATTCAATATTAAACTAAATATCTTAAGATTTACATTTCAATATAAACATTTTTATTCGTTTATTTTGCAATACCATCAATTGGCTTTGTCTACTAGTATGAGGGAATTTATAAGAACTATTTTACGAAAATTTAAAAGGTAAAATATCTTTAAGGAAACATGCGGGTCACCGTCCTCGCCGAACCAGTCGCTTGCGATGAAGGGCTCGACGTGTAAATTAACCCACAGACACAGCCCACTGAGTTTCTCTTCGTATTCTCTCAGTGGGTCACGTGTGCGATCCGGTTGTAGATTCTGCGAAGCACTGCTCTTGCTAGGGCTAGTGTTAGCAACGTCCTCAGGTTAGAGCCCCGTGAGCTCACCTACTCGCCCGGAGATTCTAGTATGCCCCCCGAGGTTAATAGAACAGGTAGGAAAAAAAAAGTAGACAGCATTTTTTCCAGTTCCGGACATTGCCAATGTCGATGACGGAGGTTACACTCAGTATTAGGCGGATCGTGTATTCGCCAGCCTTTAGAAGCAATAAAAACTTAAAAAGGGATTATGATAGAATATTACGAGTCATGCTGTAATAATAACATTGCATTGGTAATTGTATTTGAGCAAATTAGTTGATAAAGTGAGTAATTAGTTTATACTGAACACTTATCGACACAAGATATTAAATATCTATATACCTACTTAATGTTAACTATACATATATATATTTATGCCAATATCCCGTTAACAGTATACTTAGAACTATACATTTCTTTATTGTGACCTTCAACCTACACATTGGAATAGAGGTTAGTGTAATTTCTCTTTAGCAGTGACACTACCGCTGAAAAATCGGATTATCAATACAACAATCAATCTTAAAATCGCTATTAACACAAGAATTGCTACTAAAATCGCTGCTGCAACGTCTAGCAACAAATATTGGTGGAGTGGCAAGTCTCTTGCGGGCGAGTGGAGGGGAGCTTGGTGTCCCCAACGGATGACCCTTTCTGTCCAATAGACGGCCGTGTCCAGCGGGTCGGCTTGTCGGTCGCTCCAAATATTCGACGCTCTTCGTGCGCTCAATCGCATTCTGAAAATAATTTAAACTTTCTTTGTGACGTAGTTGCTTCACTACTTATTATATAAAAAAGTCGCTTTCTCTGTCCCTATATCCCTATGTATGCTTAAATCTTTAAAACTACGCAACGGATTTTGATGCGGTTTTTTTTAATAGATAGAGTGATTGAAGAGGAAGGTTTATATATATAATAACATCCATTAAATAGAGGAGAAATCAATAATAAATTACTGTTTCCGAAGCGAAGCGTGGGCAGGTAGCGCTTGTAGAATATAAATTATGTTTTATTAAGCTGCTGGCAATTGGCATATAAATATCTCGCCCTGAGTGACGTTATTAAATTTATTATGTAAAATCGTGTGATAGGTTGATTGTGCATGTTTTTTTTTTCACTTTTTATTGCATACAGTTCAATGAACTCCCGGCCTACCGGGTGTCAATTGGCTACCGAAACCCATATACTATGTACATATATCATAGAGTGAACATATCCTTTTGAGATCTATGTCTTAATTGCTCGGGAGTTACACTTATTACAATTCTTGCGGGTTGGATTTTTATTACACCATGTTATTCCTTCATCGTTGAATTCGTTCGCGAATATGAGTTAGGTACGTATTTCATTAGAGAAATTGGTACCTGTCTGCGGGATTCCAACACCGGCACAATCGCATCGTTCGACATTTATCCATAGTTCATCATGCGTCTTAACCTTTAGACCACGACGCCTTCATATTTCAAACATAATTAATATATAGTTTTATTAATTCATCGTTCATTAACCGTATTCCGTACTATAAAATCAAAATTTATGATAAAATTGGACTTACTCAGGAGATAGCACGCTTTGCAGTCCATCCAGAAACGTCTTCTCCGAGAGATCAGCATAAGAAACCACCTTACCGAACCCTATCTTTTCAGCTTGAGCGCCGTTCAGGTGCTGGTCTCCGAAGAACGGTATCACCAGCATGGGCTTGCCGGCTGAGATTGATTCGGTCATGCCCAAAAGTCCTCCGTGCCCAACGAACGCAATTATTTTGGAATGCTCTGCGGATAATTTAAATGATTTTTACGTATAGTAACCGGCAAACATCGTGAGCAAATGACCTTGACTGCGCAGAACCGAATTTTAGATCACTTTGGTGGTGAGGATGAGGCGCGACGGCAGGGGAAATCGTATCGAGCGCGTTATTGGTAGATCAGTCGAACCTTGCGTCCCGCACCGCGCCTTCGTTCCGCTTGCTCCCAAAAGTACGCTTGCGTACAGTGAAAAGTCTATCGTTATTAATCGTTAAGTTATATTTTGTTATAATTGCTTGTTGACTTTGTTGCCATTGCTATTTGTTGAGTGTTTGTTGATTTTTTATAAAAAATACACTATGCCGCGACAAACTGGTGTAGTATTCAAAAGAAAGGGTAGAAAAATTGTGTACGACGTATATTGCTTCATTATAAAACAGGGGAAGAATGATATTATGGAAAAAGTAAAACAGACTTCGGAAGCAACAAAAACATCAGTGAGTACTGTTAGGTGCATTATTAACGAAGCTAAAGGCTCTGGCTTGCTCATCGTGCTTGGGACTCCGGGTAAGAAAAGATCAGGGAAGAAGAAAGTTACCGGAATGGATAGTTTCGTTCAATCTGTAATAAAAAGATGTAATCATAATAACTACATAACAAGCAGCGAAACTCCGTACCGTAGAAAGGCTTCGAAAATTTTAAAGAAGATATACATTTTAATGGCTCGGAATGAAGTTTACGACGAATTATGAAAGAGCTAGGCTTCAGATGAAAAAAAAAACAGAAAATAATCGGAAGCTGGTAATTGAAAAAAGTAACATTCGATTACTACGAATCGAATATCTTCAAAAAATAATTAATTATAGACAAAAAAGAAGATCGAACCGACCGAGTCGTAAACTACACCGATGAGCCCTATGTCGACTTATCACGATGATAGCGACTCGGGTGATGAAAACAGGATGATGATAATGGTCAAGATTATGATAACGAAAAAAAATTACAAATACCAGCTTCGCTTCAACTGAACGAAGACCTGGCACAGCTCTAGTTTTGACTTAATAGAAGGAATATCTATTTTACCCCAAGATTAAATTATTATAATTATTAACCTATATTTTTTGTTGATGTTCTAATAAATATATAAATAAATACATATGTTGATTTTAATAATTTAATTGCATTATGACGCAGAGTAAGTAATGTTTTTGCACGTGAGTGTACCATGCGCAAACTTACCCCCACTACGTCAACAAATGCTCAAGAAGTTTGCCGGCTATTATAATTACACATATCTATACTAATATATGTATAAATCTATAGTGGTTTTTACGGATGTTCCGTTATAACTACTGAACCATGCATCTGATTAACTTGAAACTCGGTATCCATGTAGAAAATACATGTACTTAATGGATAGGCTAATATTTATATGAGTGTTGGACTCCCCAATAGTTATAACAATAAATAATAAGGTTAATTTTAAATGGCCAGCGAAGCGGGTGAGTACGCCTAGTATTTTATAAGTTTAGTGTTTATATGGATACCGTATAGCTTCAACCTATGAAGTATTTGAAAAAAAAAAACTTCGACCAAATGCAATATGAACTGTGTGCTTAGTGCGAGTTTTTTACCGCAAATGTAGGGGCGCTGTTCAATTCTATACAAATTTGAGTTAATTTTTACGCGATCGAGAAGTTAAAAAACTCGCACTGAGCACACTGATCCCAGATATAAACAAATTAGACTAGAATAAATAGATACATAGGTACATAGATAGATTTGAAAAGCGAGTTTCCTCAATTACTTAGGTACTATGAAAATGAACAACATCCTGAATAATTTGCTAAAATACTACTAGCTAGACATTATGTATGTAATCACGAGCGAGAGGTTTTTTACGCGACTCGATACTTTATGCACGTGAAGGTGTGCCGTAAAGATAATATGTTTTTTAAATAATAATACTAGATGAGTCCCGTGGTTCTGATTCATCAAAATAAATTATAAGAATCTATGTTCAACTTGAAGTCGGAGCTCATCAATACATATTAGCCGCGCAGAGTATTAAGAAAGTGTCGATAATTTTTTACGTTATGGCGCATTGAGAGGTTTTTTAATACGCTTTTATTAGCTTCAGACGTATGTATGTTTGTAACGGAATCTTTGAACATGATTTTGACCCCTTCAAAACTTTGGATTAACTCGAAATTTGGTATACTTATTAAGGACCGAAGAAAACTCAATATTAGTGCCTTTGTACATAATTTTCCTATTAATCTGTACTGTGTCTTGTTTTCTGTGTGTACATAAATAAATAAATAAAATAAATAAATAAATATTAAAAAAAAATTTGAAAAAATTGAATGTCAACTAAAAAATGAAAAATAAATAATATTTAAAAAAAAAAAACAAAAAAATACGCTTTTATAGAAAATCCCACTAAAAAATAGTAAATAGTGGGACTTTTACAAAAGCGTATTTTTTTTGTTTTTTTAAACTATTATTTATTTTAAACTAGCTGACCCGGCAGACTTCGTAGTGCCTTAAATAAAAGACTTAAGCTTTTGTATAAAATAAACTTAAAACAAACAAAAGGAATCCGTCCGACGGGGGACACATCAGGAAAAACAAAATAGTGAATTTTTATTTAATTCCGAGCATTTTCATATTAATCTACCTTTTAAGCCTTCTCTGGAGTTCGACAAATAATTCAAGACCAAAATTAGCTAAATCGGTCCAGCCGTTCTCGAGTTTTAGCGAGACAATAGCAATTCATTTTTATATATATAGATATATACGTATCCTGCTTTGGGTTCTCTAGTGCAAAGAAAATTAAATCGAATAAGAAATTGCAGCAATATTAATTTTTACTGCTTATAATCAAACTAGAACAGCCTCGGAATTCGTTGGGCATTGACGCAGCAATAGATATTTTAAGGACGGTGTGAGCAAGGTAGTTGGCATAATCTCACTATTTCTGTTACACGGCTGAACTTTACTAGCAGTGAAGTCACAAACTGCAGTAGGTACATAATGCATCGTTATTTTTGACGATTAATCCAAACTCATTTTCGACTGTTTTTTTTTTCTTAAAATTTGAGCAGGTAATCGACGTTCTATTTATGTCAATGTTTTTTTTTAAACCAGCCTCTTTCTTCCGAGAAGCAGTCAAGTGTAATCATAGCTTTATAAGTGGATAAGCTGTTGAACAATAAATAGACTTCGACATCATGCGTAACAGTATTTATTTACCCGACTTGAACAAAGAAGTAGATATACTTTGTTAATTCCCTTGGGTATTTAAGATGTTCATGAATCGGAAGTCTGCTGATCTTCATCAGTGTAACATGAGCGTCGCGGATGTTTTGTCTTTAACGCTAGTACCTACACGGATAAAACTGAAATCCGCTTTGTAAACATCGAATACCTGCCTACAACGAGTGTCTAGCTACTAAGAATGTATTCGAGGAGTTTTGATTTATAATGATTAGGTGGAACGATGATTTTTATGTCAGTAGTTAGTCGTCTGTTGGGTACTATGCTTGTGAACGTCTAAACATTGTAAGGATGTTTATACTTATACTATCTGATCCGGCAGACTTCGTAGTGCCTCAATCGATAATGTATAAAATAAACTTAAAACAAACAACAGGAATCCGTCCGACGGGGGACACATTAAAGGAAAAACAAAATTGTTATTTTTAATTAATTCCGAACATTTTCATATTTATCTAACCTTTTGAACCTTCTCTGGACCTCCACAAATAATTCAAGATCAAAATTAGCCAAATCGGTCCAGCCGTTCTCGAGTTTTAGGGAGACTAACGAACAACAATTAATTTTTATATATATAGATAGATGGCTTTGTGATTATTTAAAAGAAAAAGTATTTTTTTTTAATTATTACGTTCAACATAAGTTGTACTCACGTAACAGATCATATTGGGGAATCCACTTCACTTTCAGTACGTTTCCTACAAGGGTGCCTTCCTCAGGGCTATCTTCATATTTCCAGATAACTCTCTGCTTCAGTTTGGAAAGAGTTTTCATTATTATATCCTCCTTGTACTTGGGTAGCGTAGATGTCTTGATTAAGGACCCAAAACTAAATAAAACTACACCGTGTTCAGAGTCGTTTAGGAAACGTTCGAAAAACTGAAAAACAAAAGAAAAGCAGTATGTTATTACTAATTGATTTGATAGTTTTTTTTTTTTTGGGCAGACGCACTCACAGCTTCCTAGTACTGGAGCCTATAGACACGACCAGATTGTGACCACTCTTTAACCCACAGACACAGCCCACTGAGTTTCTCGCCGGATCTTCTCAGTGGGTCGCGTTTCCGATCCGGTGGTAGATTCTGCGAAGCACTGCTCTTGCTAGGGTCAGTGTTAGCCTGGGGCGGTGCTAGGTGGCTCCTGTGCGCCGCCCACGGTGTATCTCCCGAAATGACGTCCTTCGGGATTTTCCCGGAGATGAAATCCCGTCTTATCATCAGGACGGGTACCGGCGAAGGCGGACTTTCGGCGCGCACTGCGGTATCGTAGGTCTGGTGTAGCCGGTGTGGTGGAGCTCGATGGGGTTTAGTCGGTAGTCGTTCTGCGGGACAAGTGCTTCGCGCGCCTTTTTCAAAGCGTAGTCTCTTGCGAGGAATTCGGGGAGGTGGAGGACCTTGGCCCTCCTCGTCCCCCTCTTCCTCTCAGGAGGCGCCGGAGTCCGACATAACCCGGTTCGTTACCCCCCCGGACCGGGTATCCGTAAATGGATTCCCCAGCGTTAAAAAAAAAAAAAAGGGTCAGTGTTAGCAACTCTCCGGTTTGAGCCCCGTGAGCTCACCTACACACGCTAGGGTAAGCTGAAATAGCCTCTCAAGGCTATCAGCATAGGAATAAAAAAAAAAAAAGACCTAGAAGCACAAGGTCTCTCACTCTCTCACTCAAACCGGAATGCTTGATTGTTTCACGGCAGAAATAGGCAGTAGGTACCCACAATAATACGCATGTTTTTATTTATCCAGCTTTGCTTTTACGTTACGAAACTCGGTCGGTCAGCAGTCAAAGCTACTAATGGCAATTGGCAAAGACAAATGTATTATTTTTAATTATTCGATTAGTATTTAGATCTCTTACAATAAAACATTCAGCATTCATCATTCAGTTATTATCAAGTCTCGTATTAATTCTATAAATATTACAGAATGCAATGACATCGCGTCTGTACTTATTGCTTTTATTAAGGTCAATAACCTAGCTACCGGCGACCGAATTTTCGATATTAACGAATTGAACTGTATTGTCTATTTTCTATTTGCCTTTTATATGCCGATAATAATATGTAAATAGTATGTAGGTATGTATGTATCGCAACCTCATTTAAATAAGGTTAAGTATAGGGATATTAAGAATCGATTACTGGTTACAGAAGTTAATCTGTGGTACAGGCGACGACAATCTTACTTGGACAGGTTCATTGACACTTGATCGTTAACAATTTGAAACATGTATTTATTTGAAAATACAATCCATACATAGTTTTATTTATTTATTGTTTAGATGGGTGGACGAGCTCACAGCCCACCTAGTCTTAAGTGGTTACTGGAGCCCATAGACATCTACAACGTTAATGCGCCACCCACCTTGAGATATAAGTTCTAAGGTCTCAAGTATAGTTACAACAACTGCCCCACCCTTCAAACCGAAACGCATTACTGCTTCACGGCAGAAGTAGGCAGGGGGGTGGTACCTACCCGCGCGGACTCACAAGAGGTCCTACCACCAGTAATTACACAAATTATAATTTTGCGGGTTTGATTTTTATTACACGATGTTATTCCTTCACCGTGGAAGTTAATCGTGAACATTTTGTTGAATACCTACGTATATCATTAGAAAATTATTATTATTATTTAAAATATAATATCCAAGTATTACTAAACAACAAATGTTGAATATTTTGACGTGTGTGTGTGGCCTCACAATACGGTTTACTTAGTCTGTCATTAGAACAATAATGTTGATAGTGATTTTCTTGATTTTTCGTATCACTGACTAAGCTTATTAAATACCGTTTGAAAGCTTTCGCTGCTCCATTAAGCGGGACCGTTGCGGAAAATAAATAAAAACATTTACCGTTCAAAGCTCTATACAGTCATGGTCAATTTAAAAAATTGAAGATCACTGTTAATTACGGTTGTTAGAGATCTTTACATTATTATTACGTAGTTTTAATATCATTGCAGAATTATCGAAGACTTTATCACTAAATACTGAATTGGTACAGTTTTATTTTAGTAGAAATTATGGACAGCTTAGCTTAAACCAATGTATATGTGAATTACCAAATTCGTCCGAACAACAATCCATAGACAAAAGTATAATAGATTAATGCGCCATTTTCTTTAGGACTTGGCACAGCAGTATCAGTTAGATTGGAAGAATATTAATTCTACTCGTGAAATTAGAGTGCATGATTTCTCCGCAGGCTTCACAATAGATTGTTATGATAAGTGAGAATTATTATAGATACTTGGTGTTCGATTTCTGTGCTTGCGTAGGTACTTGTTTTTTATTGTATTCCGATTTAAGCAATAAAAAAGAAAAAAAAAGATGATTTGTATTGAGCGCTTGGATGTACTAGTATTCATTCTTGTATTTCTGGTACGCATAACATACGAGAAAACCCGTTTTTTCGGATCAGAGTCGAACCTCCTACGAGGTCCCTGCGCCTAGGGGGAGCGCGTGGTATGTGGAACTGGTCCGCGACTGCGATCCGCGGGCCCAGGGACGTTTTCAGGACCCTACCTACTAAACGACTCCCCTGCACTCTTCGTCCATGCGTCCGATGCCCTCTGAGGTCAGAACCCGGATGAGATAAGGGGGCTACCGCGGTCAACACTACAACCAGACGGCGCAGCTCACCCCAAGGAGGAAGACCCCGCTGCACCAGAATTAGACAGGACGCGTTACACCGTTGTACAGTTGCTTAGTACAGTTACGTTGCATTGTACAGTTGCTCTTTTATTTTATTTCTCCATGGCAGCGCCCTAGAGTGCTGGTAGTGCACCGCGCGGCCTCAACCCCTTCAGGTCGCCCCTTTACCTTCAGCGGGGGGAAGCCGTCACCTACAGGGATAGGAGAAAACCCTAGCTTTTTATGTGGGTCGTGTAAAAATATTTTTAATAGACTAAGTACATAGTTCTCAGTACGGTTTATAGTTTTATTCATTTCCCGATACTATACGGCTATTTCAAATGCTTGAATATATAAATAGATATTATATTCATACAAATTTCCAATTACTTATAATTTTAACCATCACGGACAACTAATGTTTTATTTTTAAATGCTGTTAAATAATTAATATTTTCTTGAAATACCACATGAAGCGCAAGTTCTGAGTAAACTGAAGGCTGATAGAATTTTAATAAGCTTTGTCACATTGTTCTTAGTTGTTCATTTAGTGAAGTTCAACGCCTGTCTGTAGCTGTCTGTCTGTAAGTCTGTAACTGTCTGTCTGTAAGCCTGTAACTGTCTGTCTGTAAGTCTGTAACTGTCTGTCTGTAAGTCTGTAACTGTCATGTCACCACTACAACCATTGTCAAATCTCCATCGTGAAAAAATAAAAAATCATGTGTCAAGTTTTCTGTCATTGTTTGTTTGTTTGTTTGGATTGTAGATTAAATATTATGTGTATTATCTATGTTGTAGATTGTCAAAGGAGTTCACTTACCACTATCACCTAACTATTAAGTAACAAAATTTGTGGAGTCTTTTAGATTGTGTGTCCGATAGGAACACCACCACCCATCTTGAGACACAAGGTCTAAGCCTCAACTATATGTTGTTGCTAAGAGAATGACCAGCTTATCGTCAGCTGCAATTGTTACGAAGAATGTCTTAAAGGATGCATATTGTTCAAGATTATTAGTCGTTAAAAAGTCAATTTTACTAACTATTGTTGTCGACTAGTGAGGATGTCGCGTTACCTTGACTGTAATCGAGTTTGTGAGCGAGTTGATGTGTTCACTCACGTGTAAGTTGAAGTTATAAATAAATTATTGTTGGCAGAGCGTATTGTGGAACGCATACATCGGTTCTATCATTCTAGTTACTATCCTCAGCCCTATAAATAATGCCATATTATACTGAAGAGTTCCATTAGCACCCAAGAATGCCGGTGCGCCTCTCTACACTCTTCAAGAAGCTTGCAAACAAAACTTGAATTGAGGAATGCCAGGAAAGCAGTGACGTCTATAAGTTGTACAAAAAGACTATATTTTCTAGTATTTCTTAGATCTCTACGACTCGGTACTTAAAATGAGGTAACGCAGAATAGCTGTACCGAAGATTCTTTCGCAAAGCAGCTGCCCTTGAGTCGTTAGGTCTCCTCCGAAGATGGTCGGGAGCCCGTGTTCGCTCACCTATCCTGGTGAAACTGGTAAAGCCTTCAGGCTACCAGTAATCCTTCTTTCAAAAAAAAGCTGTACTGCCAGTAAATCATACAAAACTAACGCTTCTAGTGCATTTTACAAATTGGTATTTTGATTAAAGACAGTATTGAATTTTATCGACATGTTGTCCGTCCGCTGAAAGGATACCTTCCTGACGCAAACTCTCTTGCCCTACTAACAAATGATTATTATTGAAATATGAAATAATAGAATCAAATTTGGTGTTAGATAGATCGCAGTCTTTTCGCGGCCAGACAATATTATTCGAACATAGACAGGAGATTAAACAGTGGTCCCGACACGCTTAGTCTCGCTTCGCTTGTATGAATCAGTCTGAATGTTTCTGGAAACATAAAAATTAATTTCTCTCACTTTTTATTGGGTGATAAATACGACAGATCGCGTTGCTTAGGCGATGAACATGGATTTTTTTATGGAGATCCTTAAAGAAGCAGTTTAATTTCAATTTTTAAAATTAGATATCTTATGATAAGATTTCTAAAATTTATTTTCCCAGTCGATGGTAAATGAACACGTGTCGTTCCTGGATGTTAAAATCAAACAGATTCTCTCAATAAAGAGTTTTTGAAGATCGAAATGTCATAGTATCGTGTAGGACATTAGAATCTTATTTCATTCTATTTGTTTTATTTAGTAGATACCTTGTACAATACGTCACTCGGGTTTTTTTTAAACTACATATAATTA